TGTCATTGCTGTCAGTGTGATCACTAAGTGCTTGTGAAAGTAAGACTCCCAGAACACTGGATTTAAAATTAATATGTGAACAGACAAAATGTTAAAAGCCTTATTATTACAAGTCCATAACAGGTAGATGCAGCACAGTGGGAAATACATGTGATGCCTCATGGGAAACTTAAATTATAGAGACATTTTAATCTCAGTTGCACCTTTCTTTATTAACAAGGACAGTAAGATGATATAAGAATGTGGTCTTATTCCTTAGAGTTTGTCATCTCTTGCTCTTTCCTTTTAAAGAAGGATTCTGTTTTCCTTTACAAGAAATTAATTTCATGCCTTAATAATAGAAGCATGAGGAAAAATAGATGGAAAAATAGATGGAAAAATCCATAAAACCTGGACAGAATGATCTCTAAATAGGAAAACATTTTTAAAATGTCCATGAAGAACTAGCTATTCTGCAACTAAAATATAAAGCCAATGAAAACCAGGGGAAAAGAGTTAATAACCAAGACAACTGAAAAAAATCAGCTTGTTGGGGTATGTCTCTACTAATTTTGCTGTGCACCTGTGGGGGGCACTCTCAACTATGCATGCCCACCAGCTCCTGCTCTGAGCATTGCCAATCCCAGAAACAAGGCAGTGAAACCAACCTGAGAATTCCACCTTATTCCTTATTATTAAGGGTACACCGGTACATTGGTTGGCTATTGGACTGGCACCAATAGAAGGAGAAATCACATTGGCTATTGGCTTTTTTTGGTTGTTGTAGCCAATCATTATGGCCACATGCCCAGAGCACCCTAGCAAGTATAGTTCGGTCCCCACGCTGGGGTTGCTGCAGAGACATTGGCTGCATGTGGGCAGGGTAAGGCACCACACAAGGGGCGTTCAGTTCCTCTGGGCACCTTGCAAAAGGGGCTTCTCCCAGGTGGCTGTGGGAGCTCAGCTGCACAGGGACCACCAGTGCGGAGGCAGTGGTATGTTCTGGGGCTACAAATGCATGAGGCACCACTGTCTGAACAAGGGTCTACTCCACCCACCTGGGAGAGCACCATGGACTGCACAGAGAGGGGCTGCAGGTAGGAGCCATGGGCAAGCAGGCAACATGCATGGAAATAAGGCAGTCATCCTCTTCCTCATTGAGGGCCACAGCAGACAGGGGGGGTGTGTGTGTGTGTGTGTGTGATCCTCTTCCTCATTGAGGGCCGCAGCAGGCGAGGGGGGGGGGG